GTTGTATGTAGATAGAGGTAAGACACAGGTTGTATGTAGATAGAGGTAAGACACGTGTTGTATGTAGATAGAAGTAAGACACGTGTTTTATGTAGATAGATGTAAGACACAGATTGTGTGTAGATCGAGGTAAGGACACAGGTTATATGGAGGTATAGGTAAGGGCACAGGTTGTATGTAGATAGAGGTAAGGACACGGATTGTATGTAGATAGAGGTAAAACACAGGTTGTATGGAGGTATAGGTAAGGACACAGGTTGTTTGTAGATAGAGGTAAGGACACAGGTTGTATATAGATAGAGGTAAGACACAGGTTGTAAGTAGATAGAGGTAAGGACACAAGTTGTATGGAGGTATAGGTAAGGACACAGGTTGTTTGTAGATAGAGGTAAGGACACAGGCTGTATATAGATAGAGGTAAGACACAGGTTGTATGTAGATAGAGGTAAGGACACAGGTTGTATGGAGGTATAGGTAAGGACACAGGTTGTTTGTAGATAGAGGTAAGGACACGGATTGTATGTAGATAGAGGTAAGGACACAGGTTGTATGTAGATAGAGGTAAGACACGTATTGTATTTAGATAGAGGTAAAACACAGGTTGTATGGAGGTATAGGCAAGGACACAGGTTGTTTGTAGATAGAGGTAAGGACACAGGTTGTATGGAGGTATAGGTAAGGACACAGGTTGTATATAGATAGAGGTAAGACACTGGTTGTACGTAGAAAGAGGTAAGGACACATGTTGTATGTAGATAATAGTAAAACACATGTTGTATGTAGATAGAAGTAAGGCACGTGTTGTATGTAGATAGAGGTAAGGACACAGGTTGTGTGTAGATTGAAGTAAGACACGTATTGTATGTAGATAGAGGTAAGACACGTGTTGTATGTAGATAGATGTAAGACACAGGTTGTATGTAGATAGAGGTAAGACACAGGTTGTGTGCCAGGGTCATATGAGGACAGGTGCCTAGTGAGACAATAACTAGGGTCATTTAAGGACATGTGCCTAGGGAGACAACAGACAGGGTCATATATGGACGGGTGCCTAGGGAAACAACAGCCAATGTCATATATGGACTGGTGCCTAGGGAGACAACAGACAGGGTCATGTATGGACTGGTACCTAGGGAAACAACAGCTAAGGTCATAATAGATAGGTGTCAGGGAAACAAAGGCCAAGGTCATATATGGACTGGTGCCTAGGGAGACAACAGACAGGGTCATATATGGACTGGTGCCTAGGGAAACAACAGCTAAGGTCATAATGGACAGATACCCAGGGAAACAACAGCCAAGGTCATATA